AGGACAGAGTCAACATTTTCATCAACAGCTTCGGCTCCATCCAGGAAACGACCATGGTAAGCGCTTACTTCACTTCACATCCCACTTTCCTGACATTATTGCTAATCAATACTAATACTGATCAGCAGCAGGGGCTCACTGTAGAAAACTGCCTTAGCCGTCAGGTTTGGGAAGATGGAGTTAAAAGGTTTTTTTATTAGTCCTACTGGACTGTTTAACTGGGTCTTGTAGATCTGTCAGTAGTTTCTTGCCTCATTTAGCTGATGGTCTAATTGATGATAAGATTCACAGTTTCACATGCAAAGAATATATCAGACCAAAGGTGACACAGAGGTGAATCACAGTCACTTACAAAACCATGAACGGAAGCTTTTCTGAATGGTTCCATGTTAACCACTGTGATTTCATTCAAATCTACCATCTGGGTTCTTTCTCGGTAGTTAACCGCAGAGTTGTCTAAACGATTTTTCGAAGAGGCCAAAATCCACTAAACAAATTATCTGAGAGCCAACTGCTTCTCCTGTAGAGATACATAAATGCTTTGTGGTTTAAAACGTTTAGTTACCAGAATATTTTTTAAATGTTGCTGTCAAACTGTTAACTTCTAATTATGGCAAGTGTCATTCAAACATTTTTGTAACATAATAAAAAACAGGCATTTGTCAAAATATGACACAGGAAATAAATAAAAACTGCAAGAAATGATGAAAGGCTTCTCTGCCTAATTAACTGGGAACGTACTAATGCTATATACTTTATATATATAGCATATGTATGTAATGTATGTGTATATATATATGTGTGTATATATATATGTGTGTGTATATATATATATAGAGAGAGAGAGAGAGTAATGCTCCTACTGGAAAGTTCTGCACCGAGTTAGAACAAAGACATATTATTATATTATTTTCAGACCAATTAAGTGGAGCTTGGAGAACTGCGAGTGATTTAGGACACTGGTGTCTGGAGTCAATATAACTGTAAAAATGAGATCACTTTTCTTGCAGCGTAATTTCATGGGACGGGACCCTGAACAAAGTATTTGCTGGAGCGGGAACTGCATTGGAACCTACCTTGTGTAATACTTTTCTTTATTTTGGCTGCAGATCAGTAAAGTGAAGACTTTAACAACGTGACATGATGAAAAGTTAATTGTAATTATAGGAATGAGGTTTGTGATATATTTGGGGTTAGGATAGTTAAACAAAAGAAAAAAAAAGAAAGCATGGCAAAAGGAAGAGAGGGAACAAAGAAAAAGTTGGTGAACTTGGTTGAAAAAGGTAAGGAAAAAGAAGACGAGGAAAGTAGAGCAGCAGGAAGTGGCGAGGGAAAGTGAGAAGTTAATTTGTGGGAAAGAGNGAATGTTGGAGTTGGAAGAGAATCAGACGAAGGAGACTTGACAAAGATTTGAAGGCAAAGTGTGTAAAAAGGAAAAGAAGGAAAGAGATATGGCACTCAGAAGTGAGATGGAGACGGAGATGTGGGTCTCCCCGGGGACTTTGTCTTACTTTCCTCTTTTCTCCTGGCATGAAGACGGAAAGGGAATGTAGAAAGTTGAAAATGAATACTGACAGAAAAAAAGGAAGTCAGTCACTTTTCTGTAATTTATCACTTTGTGGGTCGTCCAAATCCCAGGGAACCTCTCTCTTTATTTACACCTCTCTTGGCCGAACACCAATCTCAGCTCTAAGAAGTAATCACACATGCTTTGAATTTAAGGTCCAACTCACCAGGAAAAGGTGCTTTATTCGATGTCACGATATAAAAAAAAAATGTTTTTTTTTATTTGCCTCTCAGTTGGACTTTTCTTCACTGCCTAAATAGTTGCTGTCATTGTTTAATCTCCTTGAAATCAGACCTACTGCTGACAGCTTGATAGTGGGCCAGAGGCAGGGTGTATTTTCTTGTCTAGTTTTCAGGGAAAAGGTGAAGGTTTGAGAGCTGGCCGGCACATCACAGGCAGACAGGGAGGAGGGAGGAGAGAGAAGAGCCAGCAGGAACTGTCTGTGCCACCGCTTAGAGAATAGTTGGACGTCAGGGTGTGAAATAGGGCTGCAGGAAAGAAAAGATATTAACACTTGTAGCTCTGCACACAGGAATAACTCACAGGTGGTGGAGAAAGCACTCTGCGCCACTAAAAGGCACGGAAGACATGAACAACTCTGTGCAGCCTTTGGAAATAATGCTTTTTCATGATGTATAAACACCGTGAGAAATCACTTGTGTGGATTCATGGACCAATGACAGCGGGAGTCGGTCCGCTGTTGTTTTGCTCTATCTGTTGGGGTCTGCTGAACTGACTCACAGACAATTTTGGGAGCTGTGTGGACAAAAACATAAATAACACCAGTAAGTTCAGTCATGTCGTAAATTAGTGCAACTTTTTTTGATGGCTGAGAATATGGAATTTTGAAAAAAATATTAAGGACTGGTTATATGCTATGCTAATATATGTATGTATATACAGAGGTTTACGGTGTCCTCACCATGTCCCCATCTCCCATAAATGTATTAAGGAAGTCTTATTCCATCATTGCAACACACGCCATTAAAACAGATTTCGCACAGGAACTAGTTAGCGAGTAGAGCAGATAAACATCATCATCGTCATGTAGCTCCATACACAGGGAAATAATAATATAAACCCTGGCAGCCCTGACAGCTGTCCTTCCAGTTTCCTTCCTGACTGATGAAGCTCCAATCTTGCAGCTAGACAATTTGAAAACTTTTTAACAGTTTTTGAAGTTGAAAATGGTCTAAATATTACATATTGATAGTCCCTGCTGCTGCTACAGTCAGCCCGAGACAGACTTTCAGTCAGCAAAACTTTAGCCTCCCAGAATATTTCAAATTCCATTAAAGTTTCCCAGCAATCATCTTGTTTTATAGGACAATTACCAATTTTAATTTGTATCACCCTGTTCTTTGGGGTTTTTGTTGAAATACAAAACAAGTCTCTACTCATGTATTTCATATATTTAGTTAGTGCGTTTGATAGTTTTTCCACCCGCACTCATTTATCTCTCTATGAAAGTAATATTTTGGTCTCACATCAGCAGATCCCGAAGGACTTGGAAACCTTAAATACAGATATATATTTCCACACAGAACAATTCTCAGCAGTTGAAAGCACACACAAGTGCTCAAGGGACGAAAGGTGAAGGTTAAATTCTCATACAGGACCCACACGCACAGATACAGATGTTTCTATGGTGACTTTATTTGACATGTCATCCATCTTCACTTGCAGCCTTAATAGTCCTTTCCACCACCTGGGCCCAGAACAGCCTCAGGCAGTAGGAAAAAAAATCTCCCAAAGCCTCGATGAGTGGTGTTTTCTATCAGCAGCCATGTAGAAATCCACTAATAAGCTCATTAACGAGGCATGTGCTGTGTCACATGTTGCTCTGTTGATAACCTTTGACTGGGATTCTGCAGGTTGTTCAGGGATGTGGAATTCTTCGAAGTAGACGTCATTATTTTCCAACGCAGCTGTTTTTGGAGTTTCACTCGACACATGGAAGTGTTGCGGTGAAGTTGGTCCAGTGGATCAATGTGTGTTCTAGTTTGTTTAAGGACTATATGACAAAAAGCTGTCATTGGGATGAAGCTGTGAAAACTTGGAATCTTGACAGTTTCCCTAAACAAGGGAATATAATTTTGTTTGTGGAATTTCAATGCACAGAGGAACACAAGATGTACTGAGACGTAGACCTGGAGAATGGAAATCATAAACATGAAAACCATGACAACAGCAGCAAAGACACTTAATAACAATGACCCACAGAGACAGAGTGGTATTCATACCTAAGTCACCAGGTGAGATGAGTGACACTGATTAACAGAGGAACACAGGACACAGGTGAGAGGCGGACAGACCTGTCAGTGGAGTCATTTTAAAGACAGTCCTTAGAGCTAGAATTTAGAATTAGAATATATTTTGATGCAAATGTAAACTAAGGCTCTGTTGGAAGATTGGGGTCTTAATGATTGTCGCATCAGTACAGTAGCAACTGTCCTAAAGATGATATTGGAACTGAAGTTTATCAAAAGGATTTCAACTACTGTATGTTGGGGTTTTTAAATACCTCTCTCAATGGAAGAAGTCTACTACCAACACAGCAAAATGTTTTCACTCGGTCTACGTGAATAATGAATTACAGCCTCCTGTAGCCACAGGTTGTACTCAAACCTACACATTCAAGTCAAACTACTTGCATACAAAAATATGTAGAACCAGATATTTAGTTACCAGATCTCCACAAGTTCCACTTGTCTGGACAATCAGAGAATTATAAATGTATTTTAAATCAATCTGCTCTTCATTTGAAAAGTAAACTGGGTGAAATTAGTTGTAGCAATTATAATTACAATGTATTATGCAGAAATCTGACTCCTGCAATGAGACGATATGGTACGGTGTCTTCAGCAACCAAGTGTATCCAGTACTGTTAAAAACTGGGATATTTTCCTGTTTTCCACTTCAAATCCAAACAGGATTACAGAGTCAACATCTTCCTGCGGCAGCGTTGGAACGACCCCAGGCTGAAGCTTCCGCAGGATTTTAAATCCGATTCCCTGACTGTTGATCCTGGGATGTTCAAGTGTCTCTGGAAACCTGACCTGTTCTTTGCCAATGAAAAAAGCGCCAACTTTCACGACGTGACCCAGGACAACATCCTTCTTTTCATATTTCGTAACGGTGACGTTCTCATCAGCATGAGGTAATGACTATAAAAACAAGAAAGAAAAAAAAAATGTTTAATCAATTTTAATAATAGCATCTCCTCTAAAAAAAGCTTGTATTGTACCTCTTTTTCCAGGTTGTCCATCACTCTCTCCTGTCCACTGGACCTGACATTATTCCCAATGGACACTCAAAGATGCAAAATGCAACTGGAAAGCTGTGAGTTGAATTATTAAGTATCACCTCAAACCATTACATTACAGCTAAATATCATCCAAACAAAATGTTAGTATTTTGGAAAATGTCCTTCTGTTATGGGCTGCTATGTATAATTTGTACGTTTTTTTTTTTTGGTTTTTTTCACGTGTTATACTACAGTGGAAAGTGTATTGCTTGAACAGAGAACCTTGTTCTCACTGTGATCACTTAGAGAAGTGGAATAAATCATCATATTCCGGGTTGTCGTGAAAGTCTTGCAGCTAATTGAGCCTGACTGTGGTTTAAGCATCTTGTTTACAAAGCACTTTGGGCCAAATGTACTGAACAAACTCGAGCCAATTCCCTCTCATGCTGAAAAGAGCTGCTGCGAATGGAATCAAAAAGCTTCCGTGTCCATAGTGGTAATAAATTAACCTGTAACAGGATGTTTGTGCGAACAAGAACTATGAAGTAAACATACATTTCCACATGTACCTACTGTATGTCTATGGATATTGACCGTTTGTGGCATTTTGCTCCTCTTTCATAAAGTTGGTTACACAACGGACGACCTGCAGTTCATGTGGCAGACAGGAGACCCAGTGCAGATGGACGCCATCGCTCTGCCACAGTTTGATATCAGACAGGAAGATATTGATTATGGAAACTGCACCAAATTCTATTCAGGAACAGGTATCATCCCAATTTTTTTTTTAAATAATCAAATTGTATTTCTGAGCCCTGGAATGTCATGTTTTCTGTTTGTATCAGTGACATCGTAAAGCTGCTGACTTTAGCCAAGTTGCTTTAGCCGAGACTGAAATGCTATTTTCTGCTCTTGTCAGAGTGAATAATGGCCTAAAATATAGAGCTTTATTTTGGAAGACATCTTGATGTGTCACAGTAGAAGAAGCTCGGGCAGTGAGCCAGTACACACACACACACACACACACACCAACAAAATCCTGGCAGGAGGACTTCATGAATGCACTCGTCTTGTGTCATTGTTTGTTACAGTGTCATCAGTTGGCAACGTACCACAATGTCACTCAGTGGATTGTCAAGTCCAATTTTAAAGCTTAGGGATGAGCACAGTTTTAGCTTTTTAATGGAGACAATAAATAAGAAGTAAATGTGAATAATAATGACAGCATGATAGTGACACCTGGTGCCAATCACACCACGGCCACACACAAATGCTTGTTCGCCTCAATAACATTGAATATTTTCAGCAGTAAGAATTAAAAAGGTAAATATAATTGTCTAGCACAATGGTTTACAATGGGTGGCCACCAGGACACACCAAGGGGTCCTCAGAAAATTGAATTGAATTGAAAAAAAAAAAAGAAAAAAGATTTTACATGTGAACATCCATATGTCAGATTATTAACACACCCTGTGTGACAGCAGCAACTTCGGCATGTCGGCACGACGTTCATAATCTGTGTAGACATGACAGTTTGTGCCTGTTATCCAGCTCCTCACGCTGGCGTGTAGTTAGCTACCACAAAATGAACAGGTTTTTTCCCAAGATATAGACCACCAAGGAGTAGACCAACAGTCTCATGCTAAACAAATGTAATAAATATTGAATAGTGAATAAAAGTAGGAAAATACATTATAAAAATTGATGTTTCTTTACATATATTGTAGCATTGGCTGTGGGTTTTGAAAAGGGGTTTCCTAGTCTGAAGCTGCTGATGTTATCAGGCCTTGGAATGGAAACTTTTGAAAACCCCTGGTCCAGCATGATTACAATTGTGGAGACAGAAGACAGGGGGGTGGATGGAAGAGTCAAAGATAAGGTTCCCTTGACTGTTGTGAGAGTCAAAGATAAGGTTCCCTTGACTGTGGGACCTGCTATGACCCACGCTTAATGAGACATTGGCCTTGAAGGTGATAAAGATGGAGATGCTGCAGTTTTGTTTTTAATAGCAGGGGAGCCAGTTTCGACCAAACACAGATACAATTCCCAGGAAGCCGGTACAGCTAGAAATCAATGTGTCCTAAACAGAGTAAAACCACCATTTAGATAAATTCAACCTGTTGTGATCACAGCCAGATGGAGGAGCAAACTGCAATAAATAGAAAATGTTCATGAACAAACAGAGCTGCTAAAATCTCAGCGCCTGTGGGTACGAGAGCAAAAGTGTTGGCAATGAGTCAGCTTTCTTAACATGTTGCCACGGCAACCCAGTCAGACACAAAGCTCACCTCTGTGCCCGACCAGTTTCAGCCTGCTCTGCAGCATAGACTGCCCTTATAGATCCTGAGAGACCTCACCTAGAAATCCTCTCGCTGAGCTAAATATTACTCCTGCTTTTCCCTTTCCCATTGGACATACCAGGAATATTCAGGATGCTCAACTAAAGTGCTGCCATGGGAGGTCGGAATACCCTGAAACCAGTTACACACTGGAGTAACATTGTTATTCAAATTTAAGTTTTACTTTTATTATCCTGCATCAGTAGTGTGCGTGCAGCTCAGAGCTACAGCAGTGGTTTTCAAAGTAGGGGACATGGCCCCCTCGTGGCTCAAAAAAATTGGCTAGCTCTACTCCTCAGGCTAGCATGTAGCTAGCTAGTACTGTTAATCATTTGTTTATGCTCAACAAATGTAATAATCCTTAAATAGTGAACAAAAGGAAAAGTTGATTTACTTTACTATAATAATACTATACTGATTTACTTACTACTTAGTTCTTTACTTATATTGTATCATTGCCTGTGTTTGCAGCGGGGACCCTGGCCAGAAGCTAATATTGTTTAGGGGGCTTCTTAAATTAAGATAAATTACTTCAAGCTTAATGAAAATACCACCATGTTCTGGTCCTCCTAAGGATGGATCCCTAGGTTGAATACCTGCTGCAACTACTAGTTCCAGAGTCCAGAACGACCATATTTAAATTCCAGCTCCTGATGTGCACATTAACTTCCAGTGTCATGATCCTACAGTGCATGTTAGATTTCTGAATTTCAAACCAGTTTCCTCTTCCCCGTGCAGGGTACTACACGTGTGTCGAGGTTATCTTCACCCTCAGGCGACAGGTGGGCTTCTACATGATGGGTGTTTACGCCCCGACGCTGCTCATCGTCGTGCTCTCTTGGCTGTCCTTCTGGATCAACCCTGATGCCAGCGCTGCCAGGGTCCCCCTGGGTACGGATTATTCTGAGTTGTTAGATCAGGTCGATCACTGACGTCTACCTGTACAGTATGGGAGATCTGTAAATTCCCATGCTGCTTCTACAGATTAACAAGAGAGTGGGGCCATGCTGCTTCTACAGATTAACAAGAGTTAATCTTAATAAGAGTTAATAAAGTGGAGGGGGAGTGAGTGACAGTGTGAATGTTGTTGAGTTAATTAAGTGTGAAAACTCTGATGGAGGAAAAAAAAACAGGGTCAGTGAAACAACCACATCTCTGAAGGATTTCTGTGATTTTAAGGATCACTGACACCGTAGCTCCAATTATCTCCATTATGACATCATCAGTCACTTTGACACCATGAAGGACTTTCATACATGAAACACAGTGGTGCCTACAGATGAACGCCACGTGACAAACCATTGGTTTAGTGGTAATTGACAGATGGGACCTACAGTTGGCATTTTTTTATTACAATTATGGTTAGAAAATTGACTAAAAGTCAACCAAACGTAAGTGTTCTGTTTAAAAAAAATAATACTGCAGAAATTTAGTTTTTCTTCTAAACAGATGAAAAATATTTTTGAAACTTTGACCTGTTTAGGAAAGGGACAAATGTGCATATGTGCCCTGTTGTTAGACTGTTGTTACTCCTGTGTTAGTTAGACCATTGTATTGTGGTGTATAGGAGATCTCTTTATCTAAACTCATTTGAAGATGTTGTAATTTTGTGTGATTTTGTTTGTTTTTTTGTTCACGCTGAAGACTTTACATCATGTGTCACTTATTAACCTGGATAATCTTTATTTATTTTTAAAACATTCCTTGGTGTTGACTTTATGTTTTCTAATTCACCACATCTCCATTTTTAATTTCTCACTGTATGGAAAACATACTTTAAATTATTTGAAACATTATCACAAAAATCTCCTCATAACCTGGGATGTAAAACATTAGCTGAATATGCAACAGTATGATAACTAAATAATAAATGTAATCCAATTAATCAATTTAATGTCACATTCGCAAAAACCCCAAGCCTTAACTTTAGGCTCTTGGAGGATAATACTTTATCGATTTACTCAAGGACAAAATAACTATACTTAGTGCACGTACACTACCTCTCCTGGGGCAAAAATAAAATTAAAACTGACTGTATTTTTTTGATGTTATATATTGATCATGTCTCCTATAAAAAGCAAATCTAACAGTGAGACATGGAGACATTGAACTAACTATTCTCCTATCATGTATATGTAGTGTGTATAGATATAGATGCTGTTTGTATATATTATTAGATGTACAATGTAACATTGTAACAGCAGTAGGTTTAGTACATTGTGACAGAAATTCCACTGTTATTTGTTTCACCTTCATTCATCGCCTCCTTCCTCTTCTCCATCCTCCCACCAGTTGTTTGTCAACACTTTCATCCCATCATCACTCCAACTCCACCTGGAGGCCTCCTCTGACTCTCCTCTAATTGGGATCAGTCCAGGTCAGTCACCATCACCCAGATGTGCGACAACTCATATCTACTGCTAGGTGTGTGTGTGTCTGTGTGTGTGTGTGTGTTTGAAACACATGTACAGTACATACTGTATATGAAGTATAAAAACCATCCACATAATGGCAGGGTGGTTGATGCTTTTGCCTTACAGCAAGGAGATCAATCTTTTGATCTCCTGTCAGTCTTTCTGCACCTATGGAATTTGCATAAATTGAAAAAATGTTGCTGTTCCCATCGTTCTCCAGTTGACATGGTCACCCCTGTTTCCTCTCTCCTCCAGGAATCCTGTCCGTCCTTTCTCTGTCCTCTGAATGCACCTCCCTGGCGTCTGAGCTTCCAAAGGTGTCATACGTCAAGGCCATCGACATCTGGCTTATAGCTTGCTTGCTGTTTGGCTTTGCCTCGCTGGTGGAGTACGCAGTGGTTCAAGTGATGCTGAACAGTCCAAAGCGCATTGAGGCGGAGAAGGCCAGGATAGCGTCCAGGGAAAAGGCGGCAGGAAGGGGCCAAGCTGCCAGGAACAACACTGTGAACGGAACCGGAGGGACGCCGCTCCATGTCAGCACCCTGCATGTGAGTGAATCAACTGAGTGTTTCTGTTTGTTTTATGCTTACAGCATTGTAATGTTTAGTAGAAAAAAACATATTAAACCTTTTAGAACACCACAAATGTTAACAAAATATAAGACAGCTGATAGCTGAAGTCCTGAAAGGGTAATATCCTGATAGGAAACATGGTTTTAGACATCAAGTTAAAATGGAGAATTCACAAAAAGCTCTATGCTGATGACAGTGTTCCAAGAATGCCTAGATTTTGCTGTAATTCCAGAAATAAATAAAGTCTTCCCATTCTGCTCAGTTTCCATATTTGGATTCTGTTGTGTCTTCCCTGGTGGGAACAGTAGGTCTTGTTTATACAGAATACTTTGATTGCAATTACATTCATAAACAGAGTAGAAAGAAATATTCCCTCCGGATCTGTTGCTCCAGTTAATCACTGACATATTGCAGTGATCAGTCTTTTTTCTTGATGGGAGTGTGTTGGACCACATGGTGGTCTCACCTACAGCAGTGAGCCGTGGTGACATCAATGCAAAACAGAGAAAATCCAATTATTAGAATTGGCAGTGATTGCAATACTGACACAGATCAGTGGAGACCCAGAATTCACCAATCAAATTTGCACATCAGCCGTGCAGTATGTGGCGCTGCTCCGCCAGTTGTACGGCTAATTGGAATTAATTTACCTCTGCATCACTGTCAGCTGAGACCACACTTGGTTTGAGAGGATTAGGTAATTCCATTGAGGTTTAATAGGTTTTCTTGTCAAAACCAAATCAAAGAATGAATTTTTAATGAGCTAAATGACTTCAGTGAGTAGACGTGGGACGTGTGATTAAATCCCCTCCACCCTGAAGGCTCAAGACTTGATGAAAAGGGATTTTTTCACTGGACAAGGAGCTCAACCTTTTGTATAATATAATGTTGCTATAGAGAAGTTGTTGTTTGAGTCAGTGTGGCAGGCGTATTAGACAGTAGTGAAAAGAAGAAGAGGAGAAAATGATCTGATACTTCAGGCTCAAACAGCTAAAGTTTCAAAATGACTGAAGATTGAAATATTAATCATAGAGAAGACTAACCCTAGCAGCCGCTGTGAGGTAAGAAAAGAATATTACTAATGCATATCTTTTAAAGCAGCACCAGATTACAAAAAGATAAAGAAGGCTCCTGTGAAACTGAAGAGCATTATGGAATGGCAACTAGAGATGAATGAAATTTGCAGAAAAAGAAAGGGTTAGCTGTGAAAAATAGCTATGTTTCTTTTCTAAATTTAACTCTTTGCTGTTTATTGCATGCCATGAAAAAAACATTTTATTCTCTTACTGTGATTACAGATTTTATTATGTGTATTAAAGCAGGTTTAAAAAATATTTTAAGGTTTTCAGTTCGTTCGTTTCTTTTGTCTCCAGGTCGCAGAGACACGCTGCAAAAAGGTGTGCACTTCTAAATCCGACCTTCGGACCAATGACTTCAGCATCGTGGGCTCTCTCCCACGGGACTTTGAGTTGTCGAACTTTGATTGCTACGGGAAGCCCATCGATACCGGCATGGTTCTTGGCAAATCCCAGGCTAAGAACAGCAAGAAGCCCCCTCCTCCAAAACCTGTGATTCCCTCTGCTGCCAAAAGGGTCGATCTGTATGCCAGAGCCCTGTTCCCATTCTCCTTCCTTTTCTTTAATGTGATTTACTGGTCCATATACTTGTGATTCCAGTATTATCATTAAAAACCACACTTCAGTCCCACCAGTTCTTTACTGTTTAGAATAATTTCAAATATTAACAGTACAAATTCATTGGAGAAAATAAGTGGACATCGGCTATTTGTTGTATTTCTAATATTCTGTATCTTCACTCAAAAATATAATTATTTATGTATTACGATAAAATTATATCTGTAACTCGGTCTTTCTTTGTGTAGCTTCTTGTACTGATGGGTTTTATTTATTAATACTTGAAAGGACAATACAGGACCGCATATGTTTCTGTAGATGTGTAAAACAAATCCACAAAGACTGATTTCTGAACAAAAAAAGAAAAAATGATGCACTGATCTATAAAAGAGCTTTTTTTTTTTAGAATATTTTTTATTTTCTTGCAAATCTAAGAGTCTGCCTGCAGCTTAAATGAGTTCCGGCTTTTTATTTGAGCTTAAGTGCAGCTGTGTATCACTGTAGTTTTGCCCTGCATGTTAAAAAAAATGCATGTATATGAAAGAGAAGTTTATACATATATAAAGAAATATACTGATATGACAAAGTATTTATTAAGATTTTAATATTCTTATGATTTGCTCTTGAGACGACACATGGATACGTTAAACACTTCAGTTCCTGCCCAGATGGTCATGTGACACTGCCACTCCTCCAACAACTGTACCGTTTGACCAACTGTTCGTGTAAATGGGTCACCAGTGACGTGGCCGTGTGTTTGTGAAAGATTAATAAATGATCAATGACTTTTCACCATTTTTTTGAACGTAAACAGATTATTCACGCATGAGTTTTACCTGCAGCTTTACTCTTTTCAACATTTTCAACATTAAATTAAATTAAACATTAATGTTAGTCAAATGACAAATAAAGGTTAGCCAAGGTTCCTAAAGGTTAGCCACAGGCCATAGCCCTATTTATCTATGCTTGGGAGGTGGGAGACAGCTTCATATGATAGCTGTCTCTCACATAATGGTACATATAGGAGATCGATTATGTCATGATTTTTTTTTCTTACCATATATCAGATATACACATTCAGCGTTTTGATTCTCTCAGTAGTGGATAAACATCATTTTATAATGACCAATTTAAAAGCCAGCTCTGTCATTATTACATAAAGCAGATTCTACACCACACTGCCCCCCGATGGATGAATCTGAATTTGTTTTATATAAAGTCAAAACACTCGACTAACAGATGCAGAAGGAATACAATTAGGAGTAATATGATTTAAAATAAATACTTGATAAATCAACAAAAGGAATGACCAGAATGGAAAAGAGTAAAACTGATCAGATGCAATTGACAACCTTGGTCAACAGTTTGGACAGACAAGGTTAAAACTGAGACAGTGGATAGATGAGACAAATAATTCTGAAGCTGCTAACCAGGTGACAAAACAGGAGTTGTCCAGAAGTGATTTAAGGAATGAAGTAATGAAGTCAGTGATAGAGCTCAAAGGAGGGAGAGTGAGAGGAAAATAAATAAACACAAAACACTGCAGGAAAATGCAGAAAGAAGATGCAAGAAGTAGAAAAATGTGAAAAACCAATACAAGGTCGCACAAAATTATTGAATATCGAGATGTAAGATGGAATGAGCAGAAGAAGAAACAAGACAATGACACAGGGAGAAGAATATTGGAGGTGCAGGGAAGAGCAAAAAGGGAAAAGTAAGAAGCACAAAATTTAGACATGATGCACAGGAATCGGAGGAGAGAAGAGAGGGCTTCAAGACCAGACTCAAATCCTAAACCTTGTGGTTAAAACCTGACAGTACAGGTGACACTGGTCTGAAACAGGCCTTGAGTTCACTTCTGTCCTAAAGGTTATCTGTGTGTGTCTGTGTTTAATCACGACACACCTCCATCCCAGCATCCTGCAAGCAGCTCTGTGTGCACTAACCTATATCACACAGCGTGCTTCCTAATCCAACACGACCTCACACCAGGCAGCCACACAAGACGCCGGTGGAAACCATCAGAAGACCCATGCAATAATTAGTGAAGGAGCAGCATTGGAGTCGGAGGGGGAGGAGGAGAAGGAGAAGAAAAGGAGAAGACCACTGGGACTTTTAGAGCTAATTAAGTGTCATCAGAGCTTCGTTCAGGCTTTGGTTTTATGTCCATAAGCTAGACGAGAATTCACAAACGTCTGATAAATGGAGTCTGACTTTATATCATATCATACAGTAGACCTGGGTTCCTATTTTTACAGCATATGCATTAAAACCATGTGCTGTAACACCAGCACTCAGAGAGGTGACCTTTGCCCTCTGTGTATATGCTGCTTTGTTCACTCACTGATTGTACAGTGTCATGAAGCAATTTTCCAGGGTTTTATCTGAAACCTGAGACATAATAGACTGTTTTCTAGGTGCCACAGCCAATTTGGGTTCAGCTGCAATTTCTCTACTCCCTCTCTCATAAAATGAGGATAACAGGAGAGTGCGGAGGATGCTGTTCTGTGTCAGAGGTCAAGGTGGGGAGGGGAGGTGTTCCTCGGCCTCTGGCTGTGAAGGTAGCTGTCATCATACACAGTTAATGTTCTCATAAACCGCAGAGAATAAAAAATAATAATGAATAAAGTGAAGCACAGTAGAAAGCGCTGAGGTGACAAAGTGTCATCAGGGCTCTGACAATGAAGGTAGTGGGAGAAGAACAGGAGAAAAGAATAAGAGAACAGCAGAGAAGTGGAAACAATTTAACAAAAAAATAAAGTATTAAAAAAGGTTTATTTGAACGTTTAACGAGTGGAAAAGTACATCAACTGAATATTTGCAAACAGGCCTTTCTGATGGTTCTCCATGAATAAAAGATCACATAAGAACAGCATACACACTCGCTTATTTAATAATGTGGAATCCACAAAACAGGCAGGAGTTGAAGAGGCTGGATCATTAGAGAAAATGACAGGAAGTAAACAACATTGACTGCTGTCTATTTAAGGCCGAGACTGGATTTAATTGAACTGTAGCAGAATATTCATTCAGCTCATATATTGTTGGTTAAACCTAATGTAAATGATATATATACAGTTGTCAAAGTGTAAATTATTCAAGTATTGTTGCCAGTGATTGTGTTGTGGGTGGGACTGTCAAAGTGAATGCATGAAATATATTAATCTGATTGTGGTTAATCAGATTAAAAATTTCCTTCACTCGACATTCCTGGTTTTATGAAATTGATTATTGAGTTTTTCATAAATCAGAATCCAAATGAATAATAATCTCCATTGATCAGCCCAGGGGGTCATTAGTCCACGTTCTGTGACCGGAGTCTGTGACAATTGGAACACAGCGTTATCTGATCCACATCTTCAGCACAATGTCCGAGGTCAAAGACAGTAAATCCCCAGTGCAACATGGGACCAGTTTGATTGCTGAGGCAGACCAGTGCAGTCACTGTCCAGTGACCAGAGCCAGCAATCTTTCCTGACAAGTAACCAATTCATTCATTTTTATCCCCCCAGAGGACGCCCTGGTGTCAGAATAGGTGACTTTGCAAATTTACATGCCAAATATACACTCCATTTGTTCAGCTCACTTTTGTTTTTTGGGACCAGATTTTGGACTCCAACCATGTCAGCACCTTTGGAAACTGAGAATAATATTGATGTGATATGTATCCGTTTAATTTATGTGATTTATTGTAGTATATAAACTGTAACAATCCAATCATATAACCTGTTAATAACCTTGTCTAATCCTGAAATTATTGTTGAATATTTTGCTGTATATTTTCCAGTACATCCAACTGGAACTGAGTCTAACTTCAAGGAAATGGGCCAGGCAACTTATATATATATATATTATTTAAAAAAAAAACACTAGGCAGAGTAAGGGAGAGGGTTATACTGTTTATACCCAGGTCACCAGGTAAGACTAGTGAGACTGATTAACAAAGAGCCACAGAACACAGCTGCGGCTGATGACACTGATTAACCAGGAGAGACAGATACTGAGGAGTGAAGAGAAATAGACAGGACTGACAGGGTATGCATTTTATTTTATACTTGTATATTGTTGTCTTTGTAAATGAAAAATATGTAAATTGAAAAACATACAGACATAAGACAGTTTTTGTTGCATTCCAAAATTCATCTGAGGGCTTCATCCATATGTTCTAAGCTTCTTCACAGTTATTCTGCTCCTCACTCGTATGCCTTATTTGTATAAATTGACTGGAGTAAATCTTTGACTAAACACAGCCAGTGGCAGGTTCATGATTTTATTATAAGCTGCCCCGCTCTCATTCATAAACAGCTCCATTAGCTTGCACCTCGGTGCTACGGCTGTTAAATTATCCACCAGGCTGCAAATTCAGCGTGTAGAGGAATGTGTTGTAAGATAATCAAAACTAAAATTGCATTTTAATCTAAGCAGTGGCAGAGTCAATCCATGCATAACGGAACCTTCCAGACAAGGTCAGGGAGGTGAACGTATGTGAGGCAGTGGAAGAGAAAAGTGGGAGAGTGTAACTGATATCTAAATAATTATTTTGAATTGTATACCAGCAAGTATATTCTGATATCTAGTAATGGGAAGAAAGTACACTTTAAAAATGCGCTCTTCCAAAGATGATACTGACTTTAGTTGCGCTTAACCTTTTTTTTTTTTTTGCCTTAAAATGTCTAATAAAAAAAGTGCTTTATGGATGAATCATTAACATTTCAGTTCCAAAAAAGTATAAGGTTTTTTATGTGTCAGCCTCCACAGGGCTAATAGTGTTAAATATATTTGAATTGCAAAATAATTTCTAAGAAAAATTCCCTTCTATACTTTATCAATCCCATTGTTCTAGAGCCACAGAAAATGAACACATTTTCAAAAACAACAAATAAATACCTTTTATAGCTGGTTGCTTAAATACATTCAGTTAAACGTTTGTCTCTAATTTCTATATATATATAGAATAGAAATATAGATTGGTTTCCTGCTTTCAATGGGACATTAAAACGTATGCGCATAAAATTACTAGTTTAATTTTCTTTTCAGGCCCTACTGTGCACAGTTAAATATTATAGACCTCAGGTGTTGTTAACAAAGTGATTGAGCTTCCGTTTTCTCTCTTGGTTATATTCTAAGTTGTCTGTGAGTTGTAAAAATGATCGACCGATAAATTAGTATCACATTAAATGTGTGGTTTGTCCAGTATTTTCTTCAAATTCCCTTCTCAAAGTGTCTACTAATAGAACTGAACGGTTCTTTGAACAGCATCCAGTGCGCTGTGTGTGATGCGCTGTCCATGGTTCTGAAATATGGGGCCTCATGTTGCTTCTAACTGCTGCCACCTTCTGCTCCTCTCCACTTTCACACTCATTAGTTTGCTTCCTGACTGCCATCTGACACGCTCCGGTGATTAATATACATCTGTCTGTGCAGCCTCAGATATGCATATCACAAAACCTGGGCCTGTGTGTCACCATTTACTGCCTGTTGGCTGTGAGACAGCATCTCTTCATTTAACCACACGTCAAAAATGACAGGTACAAATAGCTGTAGATGTGAATTTAATTTGTTTTTAGGGGTGGGTTAGTTAAAAGTTAAAAGAATAGATTAATCTGGCGGTTATTCCTGCAGAGCGTGAGTGATGGCTGAGGCTTTGATTAGTTCCGCAGTGAGACAGAAGGGTTGGTGATGTGAGGGAACCATCAATACACACACACACACACACACACACACACATACTTACAGACATACTTACATACATACTTACAGACATACTTACATACATACTTACATACATATATATGGGGTTGATGGTAGAAGCTCAAAGGAAACAAACAAACATATATATATATATATTGCCAATATAATACTTTGTTAAAATATTCCCACAAATGCAGAAAAATCCCTGACACTGAAACAAATGAAAAAAAAAGAATAGGTGGCGAAAATCCGCTATGTGCTGCGTTTGGCCCCAGGGACCAGATTTTGGACACGCCTGACCCATGAGTCAACATTTGGTATAAATTAGACGTCTTAACGCTGTTCAATAATGACTTGAGGGCAATAACGACAGTCCTCCTGGGAGTTCGACTGTTCCTTTGGTGGCACTCGGCTTCTCTCGTCTGTTTTCGTCTCTTTCTTATTAAAATTCCTCAGTGACTGTGGGTGTGATGCTGAGAGGATCTGAGGCGCGCAGAGCGGAGACGCGCAGTGTCCCTGCGCGCTGAGAGGAGGCACCAGCTGGACGGGAGAGACGAGGAGGAACGGACGAGGAGACGGCACAGCGACCATTCCTTTACTGCCAGTCCTTTCTGTAGGAGACACCTGCTCGAAAAGACGCTCCTTTTTTACAGAACATATAACCAATCATTTCTTCCATGAAGCTGAAGACCTCCATAATGCTTTGGATCTAACCTCTCCAAAACATTAGGACCTGGACTATCAGACTCTCACGTTGGAAATAAACTGTGGATATGGATAAAATAGTGAGTTTATCCCTGCCAGCGCTGCTGGTTTTATGGGGATGCGCGCTTGGAGGATCGCCCAGTGTTCAGATTGGTAGGTATCTTTTACTTCCCTTCATAAAATCGCACATTATAGGTTGAAAAAATATACACAGTGTGCGTCAAATGCCAGAAAATAATGGTTAGAATGTA